GGGATGCTATGAGTCAGGATCGATTCAATGGCAGTGGGCTTAGATGAAATTGAGCAGCGTCAGGCAGCAGGAGGTGGTCTTTCTTCTCTTCCAGGAGCAGTACAGCTAAAGGCTTGTCTGAGCACAGAGCTTCCAGGTGTTACTGGTTTGTGATAAGATGGGTAGGGTGCTGTGCTGCTTCAGCAGCCTCCCGTCCCGGATGGCAATGTTCTGTGGTCAGCGGGCCAACCTGTGTCCTGGAAGGGACCTGGACTGAGGAGGGCCTGGGGCCCTTGCTGAGGACAGAGAGCCTCCAAGGCCCGTGAGAGGCAGCCACTTAACAGCAACTAAGGTGTTGTGGCGGGGCCTAGAGCAGAGCCGAGGTGAAAGAGTCCCAAGTCAGGTGAAGGCTGCTTTTATTGAACCTGCCGGTGCAAACATCCCAGAATAACGCTGACATACCACTTTACAGTTTATAAAGCACTTCACAGTATATAAACTGCTACCATGATTACAATATCCATTTTACTGATAACGGCGCTGAGGGTCAGAGAGGCTAGGGGCTCGTGTTCATCACGAGGCTAGCGAACGGCAGAATTTATCATTTAACACAAAGCACAGCGTTCTTCTAACTCCAAAGCATAGATTCTTTCTTTATTCTAAGTGTCTCCTTTTTATGAGGTATTTAGACGATCTTAATGGGCTCTACTCACTTGTAACAGGCTTGGGGGGGGGGCCCATAATTAAACTCTGACCCCCTCCTTGCCCTCGTGGGGGGCCCATAATTGAACTCTGACCCCCTGCTTTATGCTAACTTAGCTAGAAAAGAGTCAATTCTCCATTATCTGGGAGGAATGAGGCTCTAGCAGATAAAAATTTACTGGAGGAGTATTCTAAGATTAACTAATATAAGGAGAATGGGTTGTAACTACGAGAAATGGCAGTCTTTATTTAAGTATTCAAAAACTCATTTTTGAGCACCTATGATTAGCTAGGAGACCTGGTGGTATAGGGATTAAGAGCTCAGCTGCTAACCAAAAGGTTGGTGGTTCGAATTCACCAGCTGCTCCTTGGAAGCCCTATCGGGCAGTTCTACGCCATCCTATAGGGTCACTATGAGTTGGAACCAACTTGATGGCAACATTATTTTTTTTTTTATGACTTGCTAGGTGCTTTCATAGATGTTATCTCATATAAACTCCACGGAAACCCGATACAGGCATGGAATGAGGGGAACTACCTGGCTAGATACAGATAATTATCAAAGCCTCTGCTTTTCAATTTTTTAAATTATTATTATTTTGGTGAAAATAAACACAGTCATACATCATTTCAACAATTTCTACACGTACAACTCAGTGACACTGACTACATTCAAGTTGTACATTCTTGCCATCCTTCTCCAAACTGTTCCACCACCATTGACTTAAACTCATTGCTAAGCTTCTCATCTAACCTTTTGAGTTGCTGTTGTCAACTTGATCTCACACAGATAATTCTTTAAAAGAGCATACTGCTCAAGGCAGACATTCCTTTCTAATTAAGATAAACTATTTTTTGGTTCAACGAAGACTTCAGGGGATAGTTTTGGTTCCAAGTCCCTGCTTTTGATTTTGGTGGTGGGTTTGCAGGCATTTATTACGTTATTAAAAATAACTAACTCAATGAAGAAACAAAAGTGGGCCACGTGTAGACCAATATGTCATAAATCAAGAATGATGATTACCAATTCTGGGCACTAACGGTCATAAAAAGAAAAAGAATCACACCATTTTACCCTTGAGGACACTGGGGTTGAAAGAGGTTAAGCGACGTGCCCCCAGCGACAGTTTATAACAGGCAGAGCTAGGATTTGAATCCAGGCCCGCTTGCTCCCCAGTGTTAAGACTAAATATTTATGCCTGAGGTAGTCAGGAGTCCTAGTGGTGCAGTGGTTAAGAGCTTGGCTGCTGACCAAAAGGTCAGCAGTTCAAATCCACCAGCCTCTCCTTGGAGACCCTATGGGGCAGTTCTACTCTGTCCTATAGGATTGCTATGAGTCAGGATTGACTTGATGGCAACAGGTTTGGTTTTTTTGGTTAGGTGGTAAAAACTCGATTCCTAGAGTCCATGAAGTGGAGCCCTGGTGGGGCAATGGTTCAGTACTTGGCTGATAACTGAAGGTTAGCAGTTCAAACCCACCAGCTGCTCCTCAGTTCTACCCTGTCCTGTAAGGTCGCTATGAGTCCAAATTGACTCTACGGCAATGGGTTTGGTTTCAAGTCCATGACACACTCTCTCCCACCTTCATGGTCTGTTTTATCCAGAGGTAAGTGTGCCAGTGACGCCCACCCTCATCTGATAATGCGTCATCTCTATGGGGTGTTCTCCGTCCCCTGGACCCCCACTGCTCCCACGTGAACGCTAGTCGGTTCAGGCGTCTCACCGTCTGGTCTGTACCCCCGGTTTGTGAGGTGTGCATTTCCTTTTCATGAGTCTTTCCATGGCGTTGGGGTGGATTATGGGGCGGACAGGGTGCCGTTTGTAGGTCCCAGGGTACTTCTTCTCCACTGCTTGCTCACGCCTGCAGAACGAAGGAAGACATGTCAGTCACTGCAGATGGAAAAGACGGCAGAATGTCTTCACAGGCTAATTCCACCAACAGGTTCTGTCTACACGTGGACAGATTCAGGCTATCTGAATAACGAGGCTGGCTCTTCAGGTTTAAAATGGGGGGGGAGTGTGGGGAGGATACTAAATTCAAACTAACCGGACTTCATCCTGCCCTTCAGCTCACAGATGGACTCAGAGGCTGACCTTCCCTTCCTCAGCACACCTTGTGGGGGTCACAGTACAATGGCAGATGTCCTTCTTATTATCATCAGCTACCTTTGTGGTCAGGACCCCAAGGTTTTCTTGCCACCATCAAGAATACCTTCAACCACTTTCAGAAGCCATCTTACTTCCCCTGGGGGCAACTGGCACAGTTGGTTAAGTGCTCAACTACTAACCAAAGGTTGGTGGTTCAAATGCATCCCGAAGTGCCTCGGAAGAAAGGCTTGGTGATCTGCTTCCAAAAGTTCACAGCCTTGAAAACCCTGTGGAGCGCAGTTCTACTCTGAACACACCTGGGTCCACATGACTTGGAACTGACTCAATGGCAACTGGTTTGGTTTTGTTTTTTTATCCTAACCAAGCTCTTCTTGAAATGGGGACACCTCTGAACTACTCAGCAGAGTGAAGCTGCAAATACCTGTCAAATGCATGTTTCCCGATAACCAGCAGCAGCTCTAGGGGCAACTCCACTCACCGTCAGCCTCATCAGGGACAGGGACCTGTGCACAGCCCATCCCTTAAGGAACATTGGGCAAATGAAGAAAATATCTGCCCGTTCTGAGTAGCAGCAACATGGAAGGGTAACACATTTCTGCGGACTGACAGGCCCAGATCAATCAGGGCAGACCCCCAGTCTGGATACATACTTAATGAGCTCCTTCTCCCGCATTTCCAGCTGCAACATGATGGCGCTCAGTTCCATGTATAAATTATTAGCTCGCTCAAGCTTTCTCTCATAGTGCTCACGGATATCCAAAGCATGCCTATCGAAGAAAATGCAGGATTAGCGCGGTGGCAGGCCACCTTGGAGGAGAACGGAGGTCAGCTTGGATGAAATCAGGAACAAAGCATTTGCCCGAGGGTCCTCTAAATCTAGGGCTCCTTCATACGATGCAACATCTTGGACAAAATGGACTGGGTGATGGGAAAGCTAAACTCCCCACTTGGTTCACCCTCAGAGGCCACAGCCAGCCATGCACAATAGCCAGAAGAGCCACAGACAGACCCGAATGTGATCTGTGCGGCCTTTGCCGGGTTGTGTTGGCAGGCCCCACATCCATCTCTTTAGCCTCGTTCACTAACCTTGAAACCACTTTTGGTGTCAATAGCTTAATAAAAACACAGTACAATATACTCGTATTGTAACGGGAATACGCAGTTAAAGCTGACACCACGATCCGTTGTTTACGTTTATCCACGGCCCACACCTTGTCTCAGACTGTGTTCATCTGTGCACGCGTTTTGTTCGTATCCCTTAATAGATTATAAACATCTGAGGTCATGGACTAAATATTACACATTTCTGGCCTTCCATGACACCTAGGACGGTAGCTGAATGAACAAAGAGAATTTTGTTGTA